TGGTGGTGGTGGTGGTGGTGGTGGGGCCTTTTTTCCAGAGGATATTAAGACTGGTCTTGTGAAAGGCTCAGATTGGACTCTTAAATAAATGAGGTGCCATGTTAGCAAGCATGAAAGATCTCTAGGGTGAGAAATAATAATTCTCGGTCTTGGGTTTTCCCCACGGATAGTTGAGTTGTGTGCTGTTGGCAAAAGGAGCCATCCGCCGGTGCCTTGTTACTTTACTCTGAATGTTTTACTTGCGACTTTTAATATATTAAAAACCTGCCCATTGCTTTACATAGAAAACTCTAGAAATCTTCATATGTTGCTCCCTTACACCACCATTAGGTTGGTTTGTCTTTTATTGAAACCCATGAAGAAGTGAGTTTTCTCCTTTCCTTACATTTACATACACCCCTAATTTCAAAAGGAATCCAGGTCAGGCCAGGGATGGGAACAGCCCACCATTTGGCTCAGATCAGCCCGTCCCCCTTGCGCACAGCTGCCCCTCTGGATATCCCACACACTCCTGTTCAGCGTGTTTCTTCTCTTCAGGCTGGTGTGTCTCACACCACACCCAAGCAGCCAACCTGTCTTTCAAAATAAAATGATGGGAGATTATTTGCTTTCCAGTGGGTTCGTTTCTGGCTTCAGGAATACTGTACGTCCTTCAGTATATTCATTGGCCATTTCCTTAGAAGGTTGGTGGGAGTAAAGTCGATGGAGCCCTCCAGCACTGCGATCTGCCAGGAGTCGCCTATCTGCCTGGTTTGTGCGTGTCCCCTCCCAATGTGGACACTGCCTGTTGGGCTGACGGGCACGCCTCATTTGTCCTGTTGGCGTGGGCAGTGAACTATGCCTGGTGAGGGGGGCATGCTCTCAGGCCTGGCGTCCACGCTGCACCACGAGCTGCTGGTGTGGGCTCTGGCCACCTGACTCCCTGGCCGGGAAGAAGTAACTTGGAGAATGGATGGATGGGGGGGGTGGATGGATACAAATGGTTGCTGGGTATTAGAAATATTTGGGGTCTTTAGTTTTAGAATTTTAGTGGTGTATTTGTAGCCACCAAAGGAACTACTATTGTTAAATCAATGAGCCTGTGATAGAATTGGTTTTAAATTATTTTGCTAAAAATTACAGCTTCCAAAAGCCCACTGACAATACTAAGTGAGGACTTACCGTATCCCTAGGCTGGCTCCTCATTGTATGCTCCTCTCTGCTCCCCCCTTCAGGTAACATTCTGTTCAAAATGTGCCGTCCTCAGTGACCATTGTGTGATCTTACAATCATATTGTCAGCTAATAATGAATTAGAAATATTCAACATGCTTCTCAAATTATTGCAAAAGTGAAACCACTTCCCCCTAACTGCTATATAATGTATTTTATATGACCATTACTTATAAGGTTTCGAGCAAAGCAGAAACCTGTAAGCAGCCTCTTACATCTTGACTTTTAGCCTGTACAGTTGTTGATAATAACCAACATTTACTGACAGTTGCTCCCTTCTACTCCCCTTCACTCTCATTCCCACAGCCTGACTAGGTAGGAGACACGATTGCTTTGTCCTCTCACTGAGAACTGACACACTGGGCAAAGCATTTGCCCAGAGACCTACAGTTAGGTAAGTTTCAAGGTCAGAATTCCAACCCAGGTAGTTTGGGCTGAAACTCATCACCACCTAAGTTCCTTTATGCTTTTAGTTCTCTGTGACTTTGAGTAAGGGTCTTTGAAGAGTGAGCAGTAGGAAGAAGGTGAAGGTTTCCATGCCTCCGCACTGCAGCAGCACAGGTACTTTTAGCTGTCAGGAGGGTGCTCTTGGGCCCCTTTGCTGTTGCCAGTGCCTAGCTGTCACCCCCTGAAGCTGTTGTAGTGTCTGAGACTCCATAGGCGGGGAGGTCAGCCGGCAGCCTCCTCGGGGCAGTTGTGTTGCCAGAGACAGATGGGGAACTTTCCCCATCCCTGTTTTATCTACTTGGATTTAGTGGGGAAAACTTCAGACATGAGCACAGAAGGTAAAAGAGAGCATAGAAGTCATCTTGTTTACTCCTTAACTCATCGCTGTCTCGGTGACTCCACCCAGGTCACTGCCAGCTCTGAGATAACGCTAGATTCCTGGATTTCCTGGTTCAGTTTTGTGCCCCTGAAACAACACATTGCCTTCCTTTATAGATGCTTGATCCGTAAGTTCCAGACCTGCTTAGGAAGAGTGGGCCTGTAACCACTACTGAAATTTGTTCATGATTTTTGCTTACTTCCGTTCGTGGAATCATGTTTTTTAAGCACAGTGCTGCCACTCCCTGGTAGTTGGGCATACTGCATCTGAAGCCGGTAGGTTTTCGCCTAGGTCTGTAAGGCTAATGTTAGATGTCACACTTCACAGACGAAGATACACCGGAGTGTGACTGTGCGTGTGTGTGTGTTTTGCGCGTGTACACGCTTCTTTTCGTTAATTGTGCTGATTCAGAGGATAAAATCCTTATTATTCCTTAGAAACTCCCCAGAATTACTGGCGTGATTCTGAAAGGACATTGTACAGTTGCCAGTAACTGTTCAGACATCCTAGCTGGCTTGCAGAGTATAGATTTTTTGGCCCTGTTGCTGGGGCTGTGGGAGATGTGGATTCCTGCGAGTAGTGTTAAGTAATTCATTACCCTGAACAGGGAGCTTCCATGAGCACAGTAACTAGCGATCGTTATCACGTCTAAGTATCATACTTTGGTGAAGGAATAATGCCTATAATTCTCAGCAGCTTCTCAGCTTAATCTGAGTTACTGGTGTATAGTTTCCCACTAACAGAAAACAGTGCTTTTTGAGCACCTACTCAGTTCTAGATGATTCCTGTCTTTTATTCTTTCAGTAGTCTTTTTGGTTAGGCTCATTATTGCCACTTGTTAGCAAAGGGGAAACTCAGACTCCTAGAAACATGCCTGGAGTCCTGTAGCTGGGACAGGGTGGAGTTGGAATTTGAACCATGGTGAACTGTGGTGTCTTCTCTCTGGTAGGCCATGTGCCTGTACTGCGGTGTGTGAACCAGATTTATTCTTACCACTCTGCGTTAGCTGCGCTTGAAGAGGGAGCTTAGATTGTTGGTCTTCATTTGGGGTGGATTTCATCCTCATTGGAGACATCTTGGTTTGCTGTGGTCCTCTGGCGCGTCCGTAGCCCTCAGAGACCAGCTGTGCTGCTGACGTCGTCGGTGCTCTGCGCTGGCCCCAGCCGGACATGCTGGGCCAGCTGTCGTTAGAGATGAGGCTGAGATACCCTGTGCGGCCAGCTGGGCCCTTCCATAGCAGTGCTTCTGGCTTGGTCTTGCACTTCATCCCCTGCTCAGAAGAAGGCTGAGGCCTCTGCTGCTTTGCGATGCCCCACGCCAGTTCCCCACCCCTGAGGGCCTGGTCCGCAGTGGCTATACGAGGTCTCATTCGCCCCAGCTGGACAGAGGGAAGTCTGCTGTAGGCCAACTGCTGCCAGACTCAAGGTGCTGCTGGCCAGACCCAGTGTTTTGCTGTGTGACATGTGCCTGGACCGTGCGCAGCTGGACGCGCCCCGTGCTTTCTGTGTCTGTCTCTCGCAGGTTGCCTCCTCTACCCTGAGAGAGTCTGTAGATTCTCTTCATTTTTCCCCTCAGGTCAGATGTTCCTTCCTCCATGACCCCCTGCTGGAATTAATTCCTCCCTTCCCTAAATGCCATGTATAATAGTCATTCTTTGTATTTAGCACACCGATTTCACAGTGTGGAATATAAAAGTGCGAATGGGTAAGAGCTCTGAAGTACTAGTTACGTAGTATTTTTCTCCGTATGCAAACTCTTTTATTGAAAACAGTAACAACGATGCCCCAGTTTGGGAGGCCTGTTTGACACAGCTGATTGCAAAGCACACAGCTTCGTGTTTCTGGTACTTGCTGTGGGATAGCACTTCTTCAGCACTTGAGGCAGCTAGAGACTGTTGGCGGTTGATTTCTTTCTCATTCTTTATTGGCTCAGGTATTTTGATCAAAGGGCTTTTGAGGCCTTTTCGTGACAATGAGCACACGTTCCATTTGCACCAAGAGCATCTGCATGCGTGCAGGCTGCTCCACGTACTGTCGTATTTAGCTGTTGCCTTTGTAAGCAAATAACTTTTCTTGAATTTTAACTTTTTCATTTCTGACTTGTTGGCCTGTGTAAAGCAGAGCCACTGAGAGGAGTGATAGTTACATTCAGCTTGGGGGAAGGACATGACGGCCCTCGCCTGACCTGGAGAAGTCTTCTCTGCGACCCAGAAGCCTTGGTGGTCCGCGGTGGAGATGTCCCTACCAATGAGGGGCAGGGCAGCCACTTCACCCTTCAGTTTTTGGACGAACAAAGTTGACTCTAGGAACAGTGCAGTTGCTTGCCTCTCATTGATGGGGCAGAATCTCTTAGGACTCTTCTTCGTAAATATTTATGTGTAAGATGTTCTGATAGCTGGACATTTGAAGATAAGTACAGCAGGGTCCCTGCTCATGGTACCTTCAGCACCCCCCAGTTTGCTGTGACTGCAAGTAGTGACTCGAAGGGGAGGATGGGGCCTGGGGCGTGGGCGGAGCCTGAAGAGGCGTGGCCGCGCCCGCTCCTGGCTCAGGCCTTCGGGATTTATCATCCGTAGTGGCGTTGACAGTGTGCTAAACACAGTCTGTGATATTTACCAAAATCATCTTAAGATTAAGTGAGAGGATGTATTCATTTTCCCTGTATAGTTAATGTGGAATAAAACCTACTGTTGAGTAAGTAAGTTCATCAAATGGGGAGATTCATAATTTGAGTGTGGTCTCCTGAAACCAGCACTTTGGGACACAGAGCAATGAGGGGTGCTGTGGCTGGGGTTAAGACAACAAGAAATTTCCCCTCGCAATCAGCGCTGGTGCTGTAGCCCTGGTGGTGCCCGCGTGCCCCTCGCTGCCTGCCCGCCTTGCCAGGGACTTTGGTCATGGGTGTGGTGTGCGCCTGTGGGCACCGCAGTCCTGTTCCTAATGCTCTTAGATTTTCCTTTTCAGAGTAAGAGGGACCATCTTCTCATGAACGTCAAATGGTACTACCGCCAGTCTGAAGTTCCAGATTCTGTGTACCAGCATTTGGTTCAGGATCGACACAATGAAAATGGTAAATATGGCCTCCCGGTTAGTTCGGACACTTCCCCAGCTCAAGGGGAAGTTCTCACTCAAAACATTCATTAATAGAGGTGACCACTGTGAAATTTCTTCCATACACTTTTTTCTAATTAAAGACATTATGGGAATGCTGTGTTTTCTGTTGCTGAGGTCTTTTATTATTTCTGCTTTAAGAAACACCAAAAATCTTGAGCAAGTACTAGCAGTGTCTTACTCATAACTTTGGTGTAGAGATAGCATTCTTCTTTGCAAATCACAGAGGTTGCCCTTTTAAAATTCCTTTTCCCCACCCAATGATGAACAAAACAATAACTTTAAATTCTGTAGCTTATAGTTTCTTTTTTCCTCTTCAGTAATCTGTTCTCACACTTCTCTGTATTCAGGGCTGTAAACTTCAGTTTCTCAAAGCAAAGCTTCCCAGAATGTTTGGGAATTAAGTTTGAGTCTTGGCTTTCAGAACAGTAGGGAGGAAGTTCAGTACATCTTTTATTTTTTCTCTCCGTCTTTCACTGTTATTTCTACCCAGTCACTTTACTGACACGAGACAAGTGTCTGGAGTGGACGGATATTTGTGCAGAGGTGCAGTAAGCTGTTGCCACTGATCTTTGAGCGGTGGTAGGCCCGGGCAAGGTGGTCCCCGTTTGTTTCTCATTAATCATACAAACCCAGCGGGTCACCGCCCGCTCCCGCGTGCCGGCGCAGAGTTCCGTGGCTGGCAGGGCCGGAGCCGCGAGTGCAGCAGGGCAGCGGGCAGCGGGCAGCGGGGTCTGGGCGGCGCAGGCGCTCCTGGGCCAGGTTTCTCAGTCACTAAAACTTCAAACTTCTTTTTTTCACCTTATTACTTTTTTTCTTCATTAAAACTTATAAAAATGTCCCCAGAAGTGGTGCTTCATTAAAAGTAGTTCTGCTGGTCACGAGAGTGAACAGTGCTCCTTCGCCGGGACTGTTTCTCCCCGAAAGCCAAGCGGGCAGGTGCAGAGCTTGCCCGGCAGCAGCCGCGCCCTTGTGCCCTGCTCGCCGTTCCGTCCTCTTCTCCGTCAGTTGGCGTCCTGAGCACTTACTGAGCTTTCCTTAGTGGGTGGTGAGCCTAAAAGAAAATGTTTGCAAAATCTTCATTTGTTTTTGGAAGCTGAATTTGAAAATGTCCTCTTCATTCATGAATTTTTTTTTAACAGACTCTGGAAGAGAACTTGTCATAACAGACCCAGTTATCAAGAACCGAGAACTCTTCATCTCTGATTACGTGGACACCTATCATGCAGCTGCCCTTAGGTGAGAGCAGAGGCTTCTGTGCTGTGAGGCCTCACACGGGGTGCAAGGGGAGAGTCTGCTCCGTCTCGATGGCTTTGATGAGCATCACTAGCCACAGGAAGTCAGTATACCACTGTTAAATTTGTGGGTTACTGGGATTTCAGAGGTTGCCCGTATCTTCACTGACCTGTGTGTAGGGAAAAAGAAACCTTTTTCTATTACAATTTTTTAAAAACCTCTCTATAGTTTTGTGTCTTTTATTTCCTTGAAAGTTAATACGCTGCTATTGCAGGATCATGTGTTACAGTGATCTGCAGTTTACTTCCAAAGGTTCACTCACTGCCACTAGAAAAGTTAAAGCTGCTGCCAAAATATATTGACAGCATGTAAACTTATAGTTGAGAGTCTAGGGAAGTTTGTGTGAATTTTCAGTGATGTATTCTTTCAATTTTCTTATTATCTGTGGGCAGTTTTTTTTTTTTTTTTTTACTGTAAAAGATTTAGGAGCAGGGGAGAATAGTTTGAAGACTTTATACTGACTTTATACTTTAACATTTGGCTACTACTACTACTATTGTTGTTTGGGTTAACTATGCCCAGAATGACCACTTGTGCCTGCTTTCACCCTCCGGTATTTTCTGTCTGTCTCAAGAAGAGAAATTTCCTGTGTGTTCGGGTATGTTTTGTATGTGACTGGAAGACTCTTGGCTTCTCAAGTGGTTGAGCAAGTTAGACAGGTAATACTTTTATTATTCTTTACCCACAGGAAGAGAAATGTTTGAAAGAACTACTTTCTTTGTTAAAGAATATGGTTTTTAAAAAGTCCTTAGGGGTTTACTATCTTTTAGATTAACCACAAGAAGATAAAGTATTCTTTATTATATCACTCTGGTGGTATTCAGTAAAACCATCTGAAGTCTCCTGTGCAAAGCTACGTTTGGTAAAGGTTATTATTTCAAGGCAAATACATAGCAACTTTGACATATAGGACAGTTGTGGACAAGTTCTTTGGGTTTGATAATCTTTCATATTGAGCCTTTTAAACCGCTCAGCTCAGTTTAACAAACTCGTCTTGACCAGAGACAGCATATGACTCAGTGAAGTAGCTGTGATCCAGTAAAACTTAGTGAATTCTAAACTGTAAACTTTATTTAATTTCCACATGTCAGAAGCTCTTTTGATTTCTTTTTGCCATTAAAAAAATTCTTAGTTCTCAGAGTATATAAAAAGAAGTGGAGACCAGATTGCTTTGTGAACTTGAGTTTGCCAACCTCCACTTTAGAGAGGCGGGGAGAAGTTGGCTTCTTACAGGACTTTAGGTAAATTCAAGAGAATTCCTGTAGTGTTTCATAAACTTTTCCCAAAACTCCCATGGGCGTTTTATGTCATTGTGATAGTGAATTTCCTACTTAACCGTAAGTGCTAAACAAAGCAAGTTAATGGGAGGCTGAGCGGGACCAGAAATTGTGAGTTAAGACAAGCACTGACCCTGGGTTACTTCTCTCGCCCTGTGGTTGCCTTCCTCTTCTTTCAGTCGTGTTCATTGTTCCTTTAGGGTAAGTGATACTACGCGATTTAGAATAGAATTAGAAACAAGTTAATATGTGAGATGTTTTAATCCTGTTGTACAGTATGGTTTGATATAACGTCTTAAAATGAATATGCTTAAGTGTTTATCAGAGGCCATTCAGATCTGTAAAATCATTTTACACTATTTCAGCAGTTTCAGAAGAACCAGTTGTCCCAGCTAGTTCTAGCTAGACCCAGGTGAACTTACTAAGTTTACAATCAGGAATTTTCTGGAAATGTTTAATTTTATACACACGCACACTCACACGCATCACTACCCCCTCACTGTCAGCTGAGGGCTGGAGTGATGAAGTGGCAATTTCTTATCTTTTTTTCATTGTTTATGTTACTAGAACTCTTATTAATTAGTTTTTTTCCCCTGTGTATTTTTTTTTTTGAATTAGCCATAGAGTGGATTTACAAGGCTGTCATTTTAAATTTGATTTTGTTGGCGTTAAGTAGAGTATCTCTTGTGTGTGACTTGACAATTGTGATTTGTTTTCCTAAAGATACCAGCTGCTGGTGGTCATTCACTCTGGTGGGATCCGTCCTAGTGGCTGCCAAGTGAATCCTGTGGCCATGCTGACATATCCTGCCTCTGGAGCGCACCTGTCCGAGGCTTACTGTTGCATGTAGTCTCTCCTGCGTTTCAGTGGCAGCCTCCTTGCTGTGCAGGCATCTCTGAGGGCAGCAGCATGGAGCGGCGGTGCCCCCAGGAGTCTCTTTTGAAACTCTTTATTACCTTTATTATCACTGGAGCAGGGTTACTGTAATCTTAAAATACTAGGTGGGAGTAGATTAAGCTTTTCAGCATCTACCCATAGAAAAGGTTTTACTTTCCACATAGATAAAAGCAGGTCTGCCAAAAACAAATTCCATTGAAAAAGATACAAATAGAATAGTCCATGGGCACATGAAAGGATCAAATGAATGTAAGGAAATGTAAGGAAAAAGACAGGAAGGACGAAAAAAGAGAGCCTGATTGTGCTTAGCATCATTCTTCTCCGACAAAGTGTTCAGTTGTCTGCATTCCTGGGGGCTCCCAGGAGCTGAGAGGTCCTTGGTGGTCCCTTCCCTGGAGCAGACCGGTAGAGGGATGTTCTGTCAGGCCTGTGCTGGGCTTGGGTTCTCCAGGAGGAGAGGACTTTGTCAGCCTTCATGAGTTTAAAGGAAACAGTCTTCTCTGTGCCGACTTGTGAGTAAGCAGAGAGCCTCCTTCTCTGCCAGGAGAGGCCACGCCCCCCGTGCCATGGGGATCGGGTAAGGCCAGTGCCCTATGCCTTCCCTCCCCCACTTCCCTTCCCCCCAGCCACTTCATATGGCAGGCAGGGTGCTGAGTTTCTGCAATTGTTTCCTTTCTTCATCACATGCTTCCCTAACCACAGGAAAGCTGTATCTTGGGTACCTTTGGGTTCCCCTTGTGCCTAAATGCTTCTGATAGGCATGGCAATAACCAGAGACCACCAGATTGAAATGTGACGCTCAGTTTGATTTCTGGCTCTGCCATGTAGTTTATGGCCATGGTCAAGTTTGTTAGAGCCATTCTTTTGAAAGACTCACCAGAGTCACATGGTTAAGTGAATAGACTGAACAGACAGAGTCTGGTTTCCATCCAACACGATGAGCTGAGGTGGTGTCTGGGCAGCGTCTCCCGCTCAGCAGCCTGGTGCTTCTGCTGAGCGGGGAGACGGACGTGAAAGGCCGTCATTTCGAGGGTTCCTCTTTCTCTGCATTGTGCCTCACGGCCTTTGTCACAGGCGTGAGGGTGTGGCCTGAGAACGGCACACCATAGTGCTTTTGTTATCTTACACACTCTGTTTCACATTAAATATGAAAGAACTGTGAACTGAAAAAGAAATGTGATGATGTCATTCTGGATTGCATCACTCATGGGGCAGCTACTTAGCCTCCATTTCTTTTCTTTCTTTGTGGTACTGGTGGCTGGTTCTGTACTCAGAGTATACAGGTATGGGGAGAAGAGTGTAGCTCACAGAACCATGTTCAGATGCTCTAGGTAGCTAAACCTACTCAGACAAAATGAGCCAGGGACATTCTATTAATGAAATAAAAACCACAGCTGGCATTTTGTTGGCTGTGTGCTGTGTTCTTTTTTTTTCTCCTTAAGGATAATGTTTGTTGATGGTCAGAGACGGTCCAGAGACTGCTTTGTGAGTGGGTTGTGAGCATGTGACCAGGGTGGCAGCGTAGCTGGCAGGGACTGGCAGCAGGAGACCTGGGCTGTGGCTCTGAGTTCTGCTGAGAATCCTCTTGCATTTTGCCGACAGTTGGCTTTTCCTTGTGTCTGAGGAGAACTTGCTCTGAGTCTTTCAAAAAGGGCAGTGGTCCCACACAGAGTCTCCACTCTCAGCCTTTACCTCTAGTCCCTCAGTGCCCCCTGCCAGCACACTAGGGAGTAGGTTACTAATTAGGGAGAGAGACACAAACACGCAGCCCATAGCAGCTAAAGCCCTGCTTTGTGCAGGACACCACTCGGGTGCCACGAAGTGTCTAGCTGTCGTCGTAGTCTCCTGCAGTCCTGGAGACTTCCTCAGTCTTTGTCTTCATGACTGTGAAACTTTTTAAAGGGCACTGCTCAGTTATTTTGCCATATGGTCCCCAGTTGGGGTAGACACAGTGTTGTCACAAGACTGAAGTGATGCGTTTTGGGCAGGAATCAGGAGCGAGGCGTCCTGTGCGCACCTGCCCAAGCTCTCGGCGCTGGCGTGCTGGCCGTGCCACCGCCTGCCACCTCTCGTGGGCAGATACTGCAGATTGTGCCTCTCCGCCACGCTTTCACAGCCACGTTTAGCACCCCCAGTGGGTCTCTTCTGCAGCTACTGTGGTGCTTGCCAAGGTGGCTTCCTAGTGCTCTCCTGTGCTCACTAACTGAAGCTCCCTCCCAGGAAAGAGCGCTCTCTGTTCCCCGATGATCTTCTTAATTGGTATTTATATCAGATAAACTCAGGCATATGTATCATTAGTTATAATTTAGTATTAGCATTATTTCCTAAGTTGCTCACCTTGTTTCAGCTTTGGGCAACAGGAGTGACTCCAGGTTAGCCGTGTGCTTTCAGCAAGCCTCCACTCTTTGGAGCACATTGACTTTCTGGCTCCAGAAGGTGCTCAGTGTCCCTGTTACATCGTCCTGCGCTAGTCTGGGCTTAAGTGTTCTCCAGCCAGCACTGGTTACTGTTTGGGCCTTGCCGCTGGCTCCTCAGCGGGCAGCGCGGAGTCTCTCAGGCCCTGTCTGTCTCTTGTCCGGGTGCTTTGACTGCCAGTCCACGGCGACACATTTACTTTATCCCTCCCCCCCTTTATTTGTAATTTCTTTGTTCAGTAGTAAATATAGTTCCTTTTATTGCTTGGAATCCCTTTATAATTACTTTATTCTGTTCAGGAATACATGTAACTGGGCCCTCTCTGGTGGCGCAGCCGGTTAAACCACAGCATAC